AAAATCTGTCCTCAGTGTTGGGTTTGGAAAGCAAAGCTCTGTGTAAGTTCCGAAGCTCTGCATGCTCTGGCCTGCTTATAAAATAGGAGATGAGGTCATTTGCTCTTTGTTTTCCCTTTAAAGCCACCTTAATGAGTGGAGTGAGGATCCTATATTTGAAATATAGCACTTCATAAAATTACTCAGAAATTCTAATGCCGTTGTAGTTTACTCATTGAGAGTGTTGATCATTGCAAGAAAGGCTGCAGCTGTCTGTTCTTGTGGCTGTTTAAGAATTAAGAATTGGTAAATATTTCGGTATGTTTTTTTGGCCACCTTCCATTATTAGGCAAAAGGCTGAATTTGTGAGCAGAATCAGTTATAGGACCAACATGAGTAATTTACTTTTATATCTCCATGTATGTGAAGTTGCAAGTGTATACTGCATATTCTTTAATTTGATCTTGGCATAGTGTGAATATATAGACAGCTATTTTTGAAAGTGATTATAACTGCTGATTTGCATAATGATCCAGGATTTTTCTCATAGCAACTGCAAAGACTGTCATCTTCAGCAATGTGGGAATGATTTCAGGCTTTAAAGAGCACTGTTTTGTTAAATCTCTGAGCAGCATTAGAGCAGAGGCATCTCCGAAGTGGCACATGGATTATTTGCTTTGCTCTGGTTTCAGTATCGACACTTTCTCATTGTGGATGATTTAGCAAATTATTGGGTGTTTTGATTTGAAGGTTCCTTGGGCCACACCACAGTGTCTTGGTTCCTGCAAAAGCTCCAGTTGGGTAGTTAGAGGTAAGAACTTGAGCAGAGGATGGTGTTTTGGGATTTTGTTGTTGGACTCTAACAGAGTCCAGCCTCTAAATTCCAGGGGAATGGGTGTCTTAGGAAAGACCTACTTTGGCAAACTGTGGCAGGGTTTATTTTATGCTGTTTAAGAAAGCCCAGTTCAAATTTTGGTAGTTACAGCTCTCTGGTTGACTTTGTTTTGTGTGTGTTGAACTGCCTCAGTCAAGGCCTGAGGCCTTTTCCATTTTTGTTTGCTTGCCCTAAAAAAAAAAAAAAAAAAGAAAAAAAAAAAGGGAAAACTTGGAATTGACAATAAATTTGTTGCATGTTTTGAATGATCAGGTCTTCCAGATTTCTAAAATTAGCAGTATCATTACCAATTTCATGATGACTCAGAGTTCCCCCTTTGAATGGAAGCCCAGCTTCCAAGCTCCTGTGTAAGAAATCTCCTCTTGGTAGGGAATATCTTAATTTCAGCTTTGGGAATCAATGTTAAACTAAGTGAGGTGTGAAAAGGAGTGTCTGTGAACTGTTGAGCGTGGCTGGTGATAGAATTCCATGAAGATGGTGTTCCCTGATGCTCCTAAAACTGGTCACTGTGCAGTGATCACGGGCTGTCCCTGTCCCCAAAGAGGGGTTTTATTCCCTGGCATGGGGATAAAAACATGCAGGAATATCCCCTCCACTTGAGGCAGATCTTGGGGGGGAAGACCTTGGGTTTCATGGCAGCTTTTCCAATTAAATGTTGAATCTTCTCTTTCTGCTCAGAGATTTAGATCATGTGTGCAAACAGCAGCACCGTGTTCTTCCATCTTATGGTGCTCCTTAAAGCCAAAGGCATTTCTTCAGTTGCTTGAACCAACAAAAGAGCTTCAAAGCCACATGTCAAGGCTGCCAGAGCTCCAGGAGCGTTTGGGCAACGCTTCCAGGGGCAGGGTGGGATCGTTGGGGTGTCTGTGCAGGGCCAGGAGTCACTCACACTCCTTGTGAGTCCCTTCCAGCTCAGGATATTCTGTCTTGAGCACATATTGAAAAGACACAGAGTTTTCTTGCCCAGCAATAGGAATGCATTTGTCATGGCTGTTGCTTGCTTTCCCTGGGAGCAGAGGAAGCCTGGTGCCATGAAAGGGTGTCACTGGCTGGCAGGGCCGTGTCCTTTAGCACACAGGGGTGAGTCAGCAGTGGCGTGTGAACTGCATTCCTGCCTAATACTTTGAGATAATCGCTGAGGTACTTCAGGAGGACGATTATATTTAGGTGGTGGAGAGAGATTGCCTCGCCTGGTTTTAAAAAAAAAAAAAAACCCCAATCATATTTTTCTAAACTCAACCCCCCCTCCTCAGTGGGCTCGCTGTGGGATGTTTGGTTTTGAGAAGCCCCTGAGTTCTTGTGCTCTCGGGTTGCCAAGCCCCAGAGCACACAGAATGCTTTTAGTGAATCAGCATCACAGACTCACAGAATAGTTGGGGTTGGAAGGCACCTCTGGAGATCACCCAGTCCAACCCCCTGCCCAGGCAGGGTCACCCAGAGCAGGTGACACAAGAACATGTCCAGGTGGGTTTGGAATGTCTCCAGAGAGGGAGACTCCACAGCTTCCCTGGGCAGCTGTTCCAGTGCTCTGCCACCCTCCATGGAATGGTCTTCCTCACATCGAGGTGACCTCAGTAAATATTTTTCTTATTTTCCCCCCCCACCCCACCTCTTTTGAAGTATTTTCCCATTTTTTTTCCTTTACTGGGATGTTGTGGAACACCTTTTGCAATACCCACTCTGCACTTAAAAAATAATTGTAGTGATCCTGGTATAGTTTAAGGGACCTTAAAGCTCACCCAGTCCCACCCCCTGCCATGGGCAGGGACACCTTCCACTAGCCCAGGTTGCTCCAAGCCCCGTCCAACCTGGCCTTGGACACTTCCAGGGATAGGGCATGGTTAAGTTAAGCATTCCTAGTGATTCCTAGTGGTGATCAGTCAAAGGTTGGATGATCTTAGAGGTCTTTTCCAGCCTAATTGATTCTGTGATTTAATCCTGCCCCTCTTTAAAAGCAGAAATGGCTGTGAGCTGTGCATGTGCCCTTGAGCCAGGGAGGGGAGAGGGGTCACAGGAGAGGAGGATCCAAGCGGGAATTGCGCTTTCCAAAAGCCGGAGCCCGCCCCGGTTATTTTGGAACTTTTTATCTCCCTCTGCCTGCGTGTTTTGAAGCTTTGGTGTTTGGACAAGTCTGGGAACCTGCTGACTGGAAAGGCTGCTGTTGAGATGTTCTCTTCCCTTCGCTTGGGGTGTCTGCTTCGCTTCCATCTTGCACCAGCTGGGAATCCTGGAAAGTATCTCATGGCTCAGCCTCTGGGAGAGGAAAAGCATCTGAGCATCAACCACAGGCTGTAATGCCTGAAAAAACCCTGGAGTAAAGCTCACAAACCGAAATCTGAGCAAGTTGCAGCGTAATTTGGTGAAGTTTGGGCGTCTGTCTCACGGGTGATACTCACCTGAAAGTGGGGTTTGGTGTGGTGTGTCAAAGTGAATTGATTTTACCCCTGGTTTTTTTTATTTTACCCTGTCAGGAGTGCTTGTGTTCCACAAAGAAGTGCTGTGGAAAGCAGCCTGATATATTGGATTATTTTGCTGTGGTAATTTATATGGCCCTGGTGCTCGGGGTGGGACCCAAAAAGAGGTGCTTTGCAGGAGAAATGCTGGGAGTAGGGAGAAATCAGGTTGAAATCGAGGAGGAGGGAGTGATGTGTGTAGCTGAAAGCCAGATAATTCATTGTTAGCATAATATAGATCCCGTTTCTTCTTCTTATGGCAAGGAGGAACTGATAAAATAGTGAAGATACTGCTAATTATATAGCACCTTTTGTTAATTAAGGAGGTGTGAACTGCTCAAGGAGTAAAATACCATCAGAGTGGTGTTCAAAGTTTGTTATTTGAAGTTATCACAAGCTCCGTAATTTAAGCAATTTAATGTTTAGGTTGGTTTTTTTTTTTCCTCCAGTGTAAGTGTTTTTTTAGGGTTTGAGCAAGTACAGAATAAACTGGAAACCAGCCACGAGCCCCTTTCAGCGTCTGTATTTAAGGCAGCTACAAATATTTATTTCATTTACTCAAAAGCTTTCCTATTTTTCTCATTGTCTGCACAAATCTTCTGTTGAATGGCCCGAGCAGACCAATGTCTATTAATACTTGGATTACAACACAGTAAATGCTAATTCTTTTTTTTTTTTTTTTTCTGAGAGTACAAAACATTATTTCCGTGTATTCAGCTCTTAATGTTTTTCTGGAGTCTTGCAGTTAACGGTGTAAATGCAGAACTTGGTCTGTGCTGCTCTGCTGTGAGGGCCTGAGCTTGTGGGAATTCTGCAAGGGTGGAGTAAAGGAGTTTGTGTCCTACTTCAGGCTTTGCTTTGTGGACAGCTAACTGGAATTTTAATATCTTGGAAGCTGCTGCAGTGTCTTCCATCCCGATGTTCCTGCTCTTTGCAGCTTTGGGATATTTCGACCATAAAAATGCTTCTTGAAAGGGTGGGATAATTTAGGTTAAAAGGGCCCTCTGGAAACCACCTCCTTCAGCCCCCTTGTTTAAAGCAGGGCCAACTTCAAACATATCATGCTTTGTTCTTGCTCCTTCTAAAATTAGTTTGAGGAGGAGTATGTTAATGCAGCAGGGTATGGGCTGTTCGAGCTGCTGCTTTCATTTCTGGTTTGATTTGCAGTGAAGCTTCTTCACTACATTATCATTTCTAATAATGTTTTAAACTTGGGAGTGCTTTCTTTATTGGAGTTATGTTAAAAAAAAATAAAAATGCATGTATCACTTCACTACCAGAAAAATAAATGCCAGTGATTCTCTAGCAATTTGCTGTGAATTCTTTAGAGATGTAAACTTGCAGTTTTCTTATTGGCCCTTTTTCCTTAAGCACTGATTTGTTTGGGCTAAGAGGTGCTTTGCCTAAATTCTTTCATCCCAGGTTGCTTTTGGCAAGTGAATTGCAGGTAGTTCAGAATAAGATGTGAGGGTATTTTTTCAGAAGTGGGTAATTGTTGGGGTTTTTTTGATAAACAAGATACAGAATCCTTTTCACATTCCCATCTGTTGTGTGGAGTCAGTTGGAGTTGTTGCTTTGACTTGGATACAGTTAAACATTGGATTAATGTCCATTTAATAATATTGCAGACATTTCACTTGCTTTACAAATATTTCCTTAACTTGCATATCCAGATATTTATCCAAACATAATTGCTATGGGCTTTCCTGCAGAGAGGCTTGAAGGAGTGTACAGGAACAACATTGATGATGTAGTAAGGTAAGGCTTTGGTTTTCTTTTCCTTAACTTATGAAACTGGAATATTCTTTTCCGTACTTATTTGTGTTCTGCTAAGGAAAGGATGTGTGTTCTGACTCGTAGAAATGGCAAGGTTTTTGCTTCTTGTAGATGTTGCCTTATTAGTTTTCCTGGAAAATGTTGGAAACAAAGAAAATGGTCAGGCTGCCCCTGTGGGTTGATCTCAAATGCACATAATCTGCTTTTTTAAGGTGAAAATTCACTTCAGTGAGTTGTGTTGGAGTAAAAAGGAGGCTCTTTGCTTTTAGAAAGGCATGGGTCCATCACATTTCAGGATAAGTTTGCCCTTACACTTTCTTTAGTCATTAATGAAGTGCTTCATAAGTTAATTTTGAGTCAAAGTAGTAAATACAGGTGACTTCATCTAAAGGCTTTTACTTTGGGTTGTATTCAGTAATCATGAATGAGGAGAAAAATCAGCTAAAATTCGTTATTGCTGCTAAAAACCCCTCCAGGTTGTCATTTTTATCATCAAATAAAGTCATTTGCTGTGAATTGGTGGCTGCAGCTGCAGAAGGGGTGCAGAGTATTTTGGGAGCATCCTTGTAATTCTTTAGTCATCAACACCCAAACCTGGAGAGTGCAGTGTGAGAGACTGCATTAAAAACTAAATACTTGAGAGAAGCTGCCAAAAGTCTGTGTGTTTGGGATCCTAGGCTGTGGTTTTTTGAAGCCATGTGTGATGCTCTGGAGATCATTTGAGGCCCTGAGCTCAGTAGCTCCAGGAGAGACATGATGTTTGGGTTGGGGGTAGTGCAGGAGGGTTTGCAGTGCAGTCAGGAGGAGCTGTGTCCGGGCAGGAAGGTGCTGCTCCCAGGTTTGAGAGTTTCTCCTGGTTGTGTGAAGGGTTTGTCACTCCCACACAACATCCTTGGCTCTGAACTGGAGAGACATGGATTAGCTGGAGGGACCACTGAGTTGGGTGAAGGATTGGCTGAGTGGCTGCACACACAGAGCTGTGATTGAGGGCTCAGTGTCCACATGGAGAGCAGTGAGGAATGGGCTGATCCCACAGCGTGGGCAGCAGGGGAGGGGAGGGGGGATTCTGCCCCTCTACTCCATTCTGGTGGGACCCCACCTGGAATGCTGTGCACAGTTCTGCTGCCCCCAACACAAAGAAGGACACAGAGCTGTTGGAGCAAGTCTGGAGGAGCCACAAAATTGCTGAGGGGACTGGAGCACCTCCCCTGTGGAGACAGGCTGGGAGAGCTGGGAATGTTCAGCCTGGAGAGGAGAAGGTTGTGTGGAGACCTCACAGCACCTTCCAGGGTCTGAAGGGGCTGTTCATCAGGAACTGGAGTGACAGGACAAGGGGGAATGGCTTCAAACTGAAGAGAGGAGGGTTAGATGGGATATTGGGAAGAAATTCTTGTCTGTGAGGGTGGAGAGGCCCTGGCACAGGTTGCCCAGAGAAGCTGTGGCTGCCCCTGGATCCCTGGAAGTGTCCAAGGCCAGGCTGGACAAGGCTTGGAGCAATCTTGGATAGTGGAAGGTGTCCCTGTCCATGGCAGGGGGTGGAACTGGTTTCTCTTTAAAATCTCTTCCAAATCAAACCATTCTGGACTTCTATACTCATGGACAGGCAGAATTAGCTCTGCTTGGTTTCACAGGTGACTGTTTGCATCCAGGTTAACCAAGAGCTGAGTTGAGAGCGAGCTGAGCTCCTCAGCTCCCACGCTGGGAGGAGTCGTAGCCCTCACCTGGGCAGCAGTGGTCAGGAGGCAGTGGCTTCCCTGCACAGCTGCAGTGAGCTGGGCTCAGGGGGGTTGGTTTTGCATGTCCAGCTGTCGTGCCAAAGCTCCCCATCCACAGACAGCACTGAGAACATCGGACCTGACCAGGCTTGCGGAAGCCACTGTGTTCTCTGAGGAAACAGGGAGATGTCATCACTTTTCCAGAGCTGGTCTTGTGTCAGGGAGGTCCAGTAGCAAGCTGGAAATACTCATGCAGTGTGTGTGTGTGTGTGTGTCTCTTTGCTGGGATTGTTAACAGAGGTGTGGAGCTGTGTTCTATAATCATATGGTTGCACACAAGAAAAGCTTTCCCAGAGAGGTTGTGGGCTCCCCATCCCTGGAAGTGTCCAAGGCCAGGTTGGTCAGAGCTTGGAGCAACCTGGGCTAGTGGGAGGTGTCCCTGCCTATGGCAGGGGGGTGGAACTGGGTGGTCTTAAGGTCCTTCCCAACCCATAAAACTCAGCCTCTGTAGCCAACTTTCATTGCCAGCAGTCAGAGCCACGTTTTTGTGAAGCTGGTGGGGGCTTTGCATGTGCTGAGTGAAATATCTGTTCCCTGAGGGGCTCCACCTTTGGGAATTGTGGGATAGGGGCAAAGGCTGGATTTAAAATAAATCCTAGAATGGTTTGGCTGGGAAGGGATCTTAAAGCTCATCTTGTTCCAACCCCCTGCCATGGGCAGGGACAGCTGCCACTAGCCCAGGTTGCTCCAAGCCCCATCCAACCTGGCCTTGGACACTTCCAGGGATGGGGAGTTCAAAAAAACCTCTCTGGACAACTCATGCCAGGGCCTCACCACCCTCACAAGGAAGAATTTCCTCCTAATATCTAACATGGGAATAATCCAAATAAATAACAATAGGCAGCAGTCTTTGAAGGCCCTCTTTTATTCCCAGCATTGATTTCAGTTGCTTCTGGATGAAGGGAAATACATTTTATTCAGTACCTAGGTATGTGTAAAATAGACTTTTGAAAGAGAATCCCTGTCTAATTATTAAGCTGTCCACAAACACTGATCAAAAGGAGCAGTGATCACCTAAAAGCATAATCAACCAAATTAAGATATGGAGAGATGTAAATTAAGTGGCTGTAGGGAACTGGGTGCTGAGGTAGTGATATGTTTGTTGCCTCCTGTTTTTAAACAAGAATAAAATGTGATCATGCAGCATTTTCCACGTTGCACTCCTCATCTGCTCCGGTCATTTTTTTATTGTGGAATTATTTTTCCAAGAGCTTTTTATGAGAAATTCAACGTTCTTGAGCCCCGGAGCAATTGGCATCGAGCCAGGATCCACCAGTGGCCTTTTTCTGACTATCCTGACAAATTCCAGGCTAATACTGCGTGAGAAGTACGACCTGGACTGCTGGCAGTGTCACTTGGAGAGGTTTTGGATGGAATTTTGTCCTCAGAAAAATGACTTCTCCCCCTCCCTGTGGATATTACTGGCAGAAGCGGAGTCAGCTCTCCTCGCTCTCGGGTGTGTGTGAAACGAGCAGGAATATCTCCCGAAAACAACTCCCCGTGTCCACCATCCTCCTCGGGCTCTCCAAGTCTGCCAGGGGGGACCAGCGGGAGCCCTGGAATATGTTTTCCTGGTGAAATTGGAATCTCCCCCCTCGAGGCGGCGCGAGGAGCGTTCACATCTGTTCCTGTTTTAACGCCCGGCTTTAACCACGGAACTTCTTCTGGGTTCTTCTGGAATATTATGACTGATAACCAGAGCTTGTTTTTGCTTGAGCTTTCCAGGATTTTTAGCAGCCTAGTGTTTCTTTTCAATTCGAACAGCATGTTCTGTCATGGCTAATTAAATTCCTCCTGGCTGATGTGCAGATACACACTGTTGATGATGTTAAGTGTAAACATTTGTATGTTATTCCTTCTTGCACATTGCCAGGTGACACATCATATATAATCACGGCAATTTTGATGAATCATGTTTGCAGTTTGGCTCGCCGAGGCTTGTATGGGAAGTTGGGGGGGTTTTTTGTTGTTTTTTTTTTTTTTTTTTGGTTCCAAAGTGAGCTTGGAAATGAAAGGAGTGCGAAAAAGTGATCTCCCTCCTTCCTTTCAGAACCCACAATATCACCGGGGACAGACTCTGGTGGCAAATAATGGCCATTTAAAATGGGATTAAAAGGAACGGCTCAGGCTGCAGTTCGAACACAGAACTGTTACTTTAACTGCTCTTTTTCGTGGTGGCACTAAAAATATTGTGCATAGATGATGAAATTGGGAAGTGTTTGCAGTTCCCTGGTGTGATCAGTGCTTTCTGCTTTTCAAAATAACCAACCCTTCCTCGGTTTAACACAGCGATCTGCAGGTATTTCAGGGGTTAGAAAACCAGTCCATACAGTAAATATTTCGATTGCAGGCCAGGTCTTGGTTTTCTGAGTTGCAATAAATCCTTTTATCCATGTTGCTGGATTATTTGGATGAGTGAGGCTTTGAGGCACTGCAGGGAATGCAGAGCTGCACATGCTGGGTGGTGCTTTGAGGATGCTGCAAATTAAGGTCAACATTATTGCAATGTATATTAATACATGTCTTGTTTTGTTTTTCCTTCCTGCTTAAGGTTTTTGGATTCAAAGCATAAAAACCATTACAAGATATACAATCTGTAAGTATGCTCTTAGAGATGCATTTTCCCAAAATAATGACTTCTAAAAATAGCTTTGGGGGGAGCGCAAGTGGCTTCTTGTTGCTGTCCCGAAGCGGAGCCGGGGATGTTTTGCACATTTCTTAAAACAATTAAGGCTGATTGAGAGCACTGGTACTTCATTTAGAGGAGCTGAGCGAGGTTAAATGAAATGCTGGGGTGTATTCATATTACTTGAACGCTTTTAAATGACTTGGCACCCAGCCCATCTGGAGCCCTGTACCATGTGATTAAAAAGTGAAAAGTAATTCACAGCAGGCTTTCTGTTCATGTATTAATGTCCAATTGCCAAATGAATATTTTCCTGGGTTTTTTTTCTCTTCTCTGGTTTTGGGTCGTTGGTTGTTTTTTTTTTTTTAATCCAACTACATTGGTACCCTGGCTCTGTTTGCTTCCTCACTCCTCTTGTCTGTCCCTATTTATTACTTTAAAAAAGCTGTTGGAGCGATGGGCGACTGTTTCTCACTTCTCTAAGTGCAATGTTTTTCCTCTGAAAATTTAGTTATGCAGAAAGCTGTTATTGTTGCTGTTCCCTGATCAAATTTATATGTTAGCTTAGGCTAATTTCATTTGTATAAATGATTTGGTGATGTCAGCTGCTGTTGAAAAGTAGGTCGTGGTTTTCCTACCCCTCATCTTTTTCCTAGAAATCTGAGTTGAAGGTTGATTCTCTGAAGTGCTACAGTTTTATTTTTATTTTTTTTAATGATTATGTTTCCAAATATCTGCAATTAATGGAAAAAATTACTGTAGTCTGGAAATCCGGGCAGTGCATGACACTGTAATCTGTCAGTCATTAAAAATAAGTATTTAAAAATGAGGATTTAAATCTGCCTCTAAGTTAGCTGAAGGATTATGCATCAAGCAGCTCTGTTTCCTGATGTTGGGGAGAAGTGACAGTAGAAACTGAGAAATTGTATTCTGATTTTTGAAGCTTTCTGGAGGATAGGATGGGACAGAAAATACATGGACATAAAATATAGTCAGTGGCCATCTTTCGTACAGTTTAGGAGCAAAATTGTATTTTTCAGCTTAGAAGCCCTCCAGAAGGTTATCCTGTGAATAAATGGATACGATTTCTGGGAGGAGGTTGCTGTGTGTAAACCAGGCTTGGTCAGAAAGTAGGATTTTAGTAAGCCTGATGTGCATCTTAGTCACTCCTCGGGGAGGTGGTGCCTGAAAAGTTTCCACTTGGTCTGCCAGCAACCTCATTTTACTTTAAAAAAAAAAAAAAAGTGAAAAAGGGCAAAAACCAGTCCCCCAGCCCTACACAGGAACAGCTTTAAAGTTTGTAAGTGAGAAGAGCTGTGATGAGACAAAAGCATTTGACATTTATGTTGCTGGGACGTGTGTTTTCAGCTGTGAAAAGGACTTGTCCAGGTGTGCCAAAGGCTTTTGTTTGCAAGTTCTTCGTGTAAAAATGGATTTCCCTCTTGCTGACCTTGAAAACAAATAAAACTTCCTAAAATTACTCACCCTCAGATGAAAACTTCTGGAGGGTAAAACACCCTGTTAAAGTGTGAGGGGGTTTTTTTCTTCCCCAAGGCGTGGATCAGTTGCAAATGAAGATTTAAGTGATTTACTTGGAAGGTGGAGCTTTTAAACTGTGCATCCCCGTGTGGAGAGGCCAGATTATCTCTTGGATCCTTTTGCAGGCGAGGTTTATACCCATAAAAATGCCATCAGGTGACTTGTTGCAGTGTTTGGTCAGGAGATGGGAAGGAATTGCATCCATCAGGTCTTCCAGAGAACTTCATCTCTTCAGATGGAGCTGTAAATAATCACCTATTGTCTGTGTTTCAGAGAAGGAGGTGGGAGTTCAGAGGAGCTACGTGATTATAGTCAGAGTTATTTCAAACTGTCACAGGGTTTGAGTTCCCTTAAGGTGGCTGTTCTATGAAGTTCAATTTAAAAGGATTTAGAGGTTTTTCTGAAATTATATCAGTTATGCTGCATCCTCACATCTTGGCTTTTTAGCTGCTTGAGCAGGTTCATTTTGCTCCTTGTTTGTTTGGGTTCTCTCCTGTGTTCCTTTAACCCTTTGCTGTTTCTCAGTATTCTTCTTTCTTTATATTCGTCCCCTGTCACTTCACGTACTGCCAGATTGTTACCACCTCCCCTTCTGGAATGCTCTCCATCTCCTCCAGGGTGTTCCCTACAGGCAGATGGTTGAAGGAAGGAGCTGTGATGAACAATGTGGATTTTATGTGCATGTTTGTTGCTCTGGGGCAGAGGAAGCCTGAAGTCCTGTTGGCAGTGGGATCATGATTGATCAGGAAGGTGCCTGGCAGCCCTTTGGTGCTTTAAACTCCCTTTAATCCTAGGGAGGGTTATAAGACCTGTGCCAACCCACTCCTTACCCCCAAAATGCAAAGAAGTATTCAGATTTCATCTGGAGACCTGACTGTTACAGGTGTTTAAAAAAAAAACCCCAAAATGCTTTTGAAGTGTTAAGCACCTCCAGCACCCCCCAAAGTGTGTGTTGGTGGGACCTCTGCTGCAAATACACAGGATTTTGGTGCAGCTGTGCCTGGAACTCTGCATTTGGTTGTGTTCAGCTCCCAAAAGAGGGCATAGAGAGGGCCATGGCTGTGTTCTGTGCTCAGTTTCTATCCTTGGTATCAGCAAAACTATTTCTTATCCCTCATGGTATTTGACTTGATACTCTCTCAAACTTCAAATTTTGAAGGCTGCCCACATGCGGATTAATTTTTTTGTGTGTGTTTTGAAGACTTTCATCTCTTCCTACCCGTTTGAACTGGGTGTTTCTTTGAAAGGAAGCAGGAAACCTTCTTGGATAAGATGCTTTGTGTTAACTGCTTTGCTTCCTAGCAGGCTCAGCTTCCAAAGTGCAGGTCCTGAATGGTGACTCCATCCGGGGGGAACATCCTGCATCCAACCTTTCTTCTCCAAGGGTTGAGTGCAGATAATGTTTTTGGGAGTCCCTGTGTCGGGTCAGTTCTGACCCAGGGAAAGAGTCAGCAATGTGGTGGGAGCTGTAAAAGCTGCCAGAGTTCTCCCTAGGTGAGGGTGGAGTCGAGAAGGCTCTGGAATGCTGAGAAAGGGAAGCACTGAGAGCACGTGTAACCCCAGCAGAGCTGCCTCCGTCTGGTGTGTGTCTCGTGGACAAAGCTCAGAGCAGCTCTGTGAGGCTCCAGTTACAGTCACCAGTAGGAGCCTAAAAGTTTACGTGTCTGAAAGTGTCAAGTCAGCTCCATGTGGCTCCAAAGGCTGCAGTCATAACAGACCTGGGGAGGAGAGATGAGTTCATCCCAGTCCTGAAGCTGGCGTGGGAATTGGAGTCCTGGGAAGAGCAGAGGTTGCAGTCAGAGCAGAAGATCTATGTGTGCTTCATCTGCTGAAACGACTCCTGGCTGTTGTGTTTCAACCTGGGGTCCTGTTGGTTCATAGAATTACAGGATGGTTTGGGTTGGAAGTGACCTTAAATCTCTCCTCATTCCACCCCCTGCCATGGGCAGGGGCACCTTCCACTAGCCCAGGTTGCTCCAAGCAATCCTTGGCAGGACTCGAGTCAGGATTGTTCTTCTTTTCCTTTCTGAACTGAACTTTCACTCCTGTCATTTGGCCTCAGAGAGCAGCTCCAAGGAACATTGCAAGGGCAGCCACTCTTGCCTTCTCTCCCTTCACCCCACCATCTGATCTGGTTGTTCCCTTAGCCTGTGCTGTTTGGGCTGGTTTAGAGCCCAGCTGATGGAGCTCTGCCTGATCCCTGGTGTTTGTCACCCTGCAGGACAGCCCCAGGGGGGTTTGCTGCTCCTGCTATAATGGGTCTCTCTGAGTGGTGAGAGGCACTGATGCAACTCCAGAGTCTTCAGAAATGTGCCATTTTCCAGAGTCTGGGGGGAAGAAACTGGCTGACTGGCATTTTAGGTTCACTTAAATTCAAGAAGCAATGCCAAGTGTGGTCTCTGTGAGAATATTTGGTGGAGCTTTCAGTTGTCTGTGGTGGTCCTGAAATGCCTCTGTGATCCCCATCACTCCTCTGTTGCTGTAGAGGTATCTTGATGTGTGTTTTGAGTTCAGGATCAATTGGATGAAGGTCACAGCTGTCTGCTCTTCATGTGTTTGGGAGCATAAAGCTGCTGGAGTGGCTGGAGCTGTTAATACCACAGGTTAAAAAGTAATTATATATTGCATTACTTGTGTGAATTGTGTCACTTTGATTAAACATACCAATGAACTACAGTTAGCAGAGGGTAAGTTTTGCCTTTCAGTAAAATAACTTGATATTTTAGAGAGCAGTTTTATATATATGGAGGAAAGCAGTTTTTCTGTGTGTAACCTCTAGGTATAGTTTTAAATCCTGAAGGTGATGGGTGCACAGGATTTTCCCAGCTGTGTGTTCCAAGGTGTGACAGATGTTTGGGAGTGCCTCAGAGACTTGAACTCTTGTCTGTTTTTCTTTTTCAGATGTGCTGAAAGACATTATGACACCGCCAAATTTAACTGCAGAGGTATGTTTTTACTGTTTGATATGTGTCCTCTTTAAACTTCAGTGAATGAAGGGCTAAAGGAGGAGCTGATGAATAGTCATGTAGGAGATCTGGGCAGCAGGAATGATGTCAGATTGCTTTGAGTCATTGGAAAAACTTGCTATGCTCTTGGTGCTTTCAAAAAAATGTTCTTGACAGTTAAAGATCAGGACCTAATAAGAAATGTACTGTTGCAAAAATCTTTGCAGAGGGGGTTGTAGAGAAGTTTCAGTTCAGTTCAGCATGCAAACTTATTGTACAATTTACATGTGAAGCTTTGGAGGAGTCTGGTTCTTAGGAAGAATAAAAATGGAGACCACTTAAGCCACCATCCCTGTTCGTATAAAGCAGCTTTTTGAAGGTCTGACATAACCTTCAGATGCTTAAAAAAAAAAAAATTCATTCCCATGTGGTGCCTCTTAGAGATGAGCTGGGTTTGAGACACTTGGCAGAGCTACTAAAACCAGCAGGGAAACTTTCCAGGAGGGCTTTTTGACCAGGTCTTTGGTGAGTGGATGCTGATATACCTGTTGTGTCAGTATTAACTCCCCAGGTAATGAATAAACACAGATTTACCTTCAGTCTCTGGGCAGAGGAACTCTCTGGCCACAGTAGCAGAGCTGCCTGGGTAGATGAGGAGTTCTTTTGTCTGCACAATTGTAGGAGATGACCACATTTTGGCAGCGTGGGCAAATCCTACATCATAGCAAGAGCTCAACTTCTTTTTTTTTTATTCTTTTTTTTTAATTATTATTATTTCAAACCATCCTTCTAGTTATAAAAGAGGGTTTTAGAGTGTGACCAAAATATAACTGGCTGCTTCAATGTGTGAATATAGAAGGACCGAAATTGTCATGTTGAAGCCATCATCACTTCTGATTTGCTCTCACCGTGCTGAATGACATGTCCTGAAACCTCACTCCATATATAAAAGCCAGGAAAAAGAGTATTTTAAGATGTGCTTGAGCAGTGCTTTGGGTGAGGAGAGAAAAGGCGTAAATGGAAAGGACGTGGTTCTAATATGGCCAGAACATATGTTTGCTTTAATTTATGCTTTTTGATAGGGAGGTGTCAGATCCCTTCACTGTCAATCCCAGCCCAAAATGTTGTTTGTGACAGCACCTTTCACAGCTCCTCTGCACATGTAGCATTTTTTTTTTCTTTTCATCCCTGAATTAGTTAACCTTAGATAACCAAATTGGTGACTCAGGACTTCCCTTAGCAGAGGAACAACAGCTCTACTTTGAAATCCCCTGAAGTGAATTAATTGCAGAGGGAACTTCTTACTTGTACATTTAGCATGAAACACCAGAGTAGTTCATTATTCACCTTGGATGCTCTTGCATCAAATTAAACCCTTAAAAGCTCTTCATCTTCTTTGGGAATTTGCTTTCTGTCCCAGGTTTTTGCAGTTCCCAGAGTACTTCTGTGCTGGAAATTACCTTCTGCTTTGCCACAGACTTTCCTTTTTTTTTTTTTCCCCCACTCCTTTATGTTCTGTGGGATTGGAGAGAGTGATCAGGCCCATGCTCCAGTGTTAGGAATCAAAATCCACAGAGGACCTGCACCTTCTCAAGGACCAGCTCGAGGCTGGTGAATGTTTCCTTCCTCTTAATCCCCCCACAACATCACAGGGCACCCATTTCATCTTCAACTCATTCCATCTCTGAAGAAATTGCCACGAGGTTTGCCTTTGATCCCAGACCTTGGAGAGCACCTTCAGCATGCTGTGACTTCTTGGGATTTTTCAGGCTGTTCTTTCAGGACTGTTTTACTCCCCTTTCCATGGGAACCTTGCTGGCTGTAATTACAGTAGACTCAGGGTTGGATGGACAAATTTGCAGCGTTTTTGCAGCTTCTTTTCTTAGGGATTTCTAAGTAAATTCCTGCTTTCATTTACATCTGCAAAAAATGGCATCTCTGAGTTCACATAAAACGATCGTTTGGGGAGTCTTTGGATCTTCCACGTGGAAGAATTTATTAGTTGTGTGTTCGTGTTGGTGAACCTTTGTTGTTTCTTCAGCAAAGATTATTCACTTTGTTGGGCTTCCCTATTTGGTCTTCTGGGAGAAGTGAATAAACTGTCCTTGTAGATCCTTGCAAAAGGCTTCAGCCTTGTGCTGCAGTCATTTAGCAGTTCCGTAACTTCATCCCTCACTTCTGCTCTTTTAAGTCCTTGGGGATTCATCAAAAGGAGCCTTGTGTGTGTGACCAGAGAGTAGGGCTTACGAAACAAATGGAGACCCTTGCCAAAAAATGGAATGTATTCATTTTTAGCCCAGAAAAGGAAATGGTGTTCCTAGCTGAGAATTTTTTCAGCGAACCAGAGTTGTGTTTATAAGATCCCAAGGCAGATGGAGAATTGGGGTGCACTTCATCAAGTGCCTTCTCCTGGTGAAACTAAAACGTCCCTTGGAGTTCTGCTGATCAGCCTGACATTGTCATGTGATCTGAAGTGGTCAAAGTCTGGGTGCTTCTCTCTGCTTATTTTTTGCTCTCTTGAGTTTCCTTTCGTTTCCTGCGTGAAATTCTTTCCATCTCCAGATGGAACAAAGTGTGTGTGTGTGAATACACCCATGTGAGAAAGGAGGACTGCAAACCCCACAAGTACTGCCAGTGTTTTATATGGGATTTCTCTTTTGATTACCTTTTTTTTTTTTTTAAATATGGAAATGGCAGGTTTTTGTTTCAAAGCACCTTTGAGAGTTTGTTCCCAATGCAGACCCAACTGTGCTCAGTTATTTTTCAGCAAAATTCCTGAATTGCCTGCCCAGTGACTGAGGTCTGGCCCTATTCTCTCTCAGCAGGTAGTTTAATTATTGCTGGAGTAATGGGTTTCCACAAGGCTATTCTTTGTGCCAGCACGCTCTGAAATTCTAGAAGATTCCTGTTGCAGAGCCTGTGCCACTCATTTCAATAGAGGTGTGAAATAGTTGCTTCGTGGAGCAGGATTCTTATGGATTACTAGAGAAATGTCTGCAGTGCTTATAATATACTGACTAATATTAGAATAAAAAATAGGTACCTATATGTAAATTAGGGGGGGTTACTTAATAAGTTAATTTTTACATGTTTGTGACAGAGTTGCTCTGTCTGAGCTCGCTGCATTCCCCTTTGACGTTCTGATGAATTCCTCCTTCTCCTTGCAGTTGCACAGTACCCTTTTGAAGACCATAACCCACCACAGCTGGAGCTCATCAAACCTTTTTGTGAAGACCTTGACCAGTGGCTGAGTGAAGATGACAATCATGTTGCAGCAATCCACTGTAAAGCTGGAAAGGGACGAACTGGTGTAATGATTTGTGCATATTTGTTGCATCGAGGCAAGTTTTTAAAGGCTCAAGAAGCCCTAGATTTCTATGGGGAAGTAAGGACCAGAGACAAGAAGGTGAGATGCTCCCTGTTCTTCTGTCCCCCTCCCTGTAACTTGCTGCTTTTCCTCCTGGGGGTCATTTTGATGCTCCAACCCTTAAAGAAAAATACTTCCCATGAGTTGTGATATCTGGTTTGATTTAGCTTTAATATTAGCAGATCAGTGCAGTCATAAATGAAAAAGCTTTCCTAAGCAGTAGCAGCAACTAGTCACAGTACTAACACAGCCTGGTTTTTCCATCTCCTGTTCAAGAAGACCTGGACAGTCTATTTTAAATAGCTCTTTCAACAGAGTTCTGCTGTGTGTTACATCAGGTGGACAGTCCATGAGGGAACTTTCTCGTTCAGCATTTTCGGCCCAAATAAGAGGATTGTTCCAGCTTGTTTCGCCTGAATGGATGAACTGTTCATCTCCTCAGGTTCTTTTGACTTCTGTGGTGTTGTTTGGAGATGTGTAGGCATTACAGTGGAATATCCCTACTGTAGGAATATACTGGCATGTTGTTGGATGCCCCTTTTCAATAGAAGGGTAGTTAAGGACCTTTCTGGCCTTGTTATCCCTCATTGATGGGAATTTAACCTCCTCATTTGAAGTCTTCTCCAAAGATAGTAAGTTGTGAATTGCAAGGTCACTTGAACAAGCTTCCCTGCTCATCTTTCATCATTTCCTTGAGTATGTTGGTTGAGCATCCCAAAGGGGATCATCCCAGCAGGGCAGTTTTTCCATCTCCTCAAGTACAGAGCTCTCTCTGTTCCTGTAATGTTTGCACAAAGTCTTAATTTCACAGTGTGAAGACCTCTAAAAAGCAGAGCTTCGTGTCTGAAGGCTCTTGAGAGCAGAAGTGGCACATGAGGAATTGTAGGATTTGGCTGTTAATTCACTGGAAGGAGCAAGTAGCTCCTTAGTTTGCTCCCTGGGCAGGGTGGAGCTGTTATTCCCTGGACTGATGAGTTGGTTTTGGTGTAACACCGGAGCAGAGGCGCTGTCAAGGTCTCCCATCAGAACTTTTTGAGGCTTTTGGTGAGAGTCCTTGCCTGGGGATGAGTGGTGTGAATAAACACAGCAGATTCCTCCTGCTGCTGAGGGTTATCTCAAGAGCTGGATAAAGCAGCCCGAAAACCACAAAGCTGAAGAAATGCGGGGTAAAAAGTGTGTTGTGCCTCAGTTTCCCTCTTGGAAAAAGGTTGTATTCCTGCACATCACTGTGCTGGGATAAGGGCAGCTGGGTGTTCATCAGTACCCCAGTGATACCTTGGGCAACTTTGAGATAAGGGAACCTTAGTTAAACAGGAATAGTGAGAGCCTTGTTTAGCTTTACTCTAAATACTGTCTGTAACCAGCACTTTGTTTCGGTTTTGATGTCTCTACTGGAAGAGTTGATCTTTCCTCCCCCCCCTTCCCAACTCCACTTGAGCATGGTTATCTTTATGTGGCCAGTGGGCAGCATTTGATTCACATAATCCTTCAAATAGTGTTTATAAGCAGGTATTCCAGTGCAGGTTCTGGGAGCCTTTTCCTCCCTTGTGGCCCATATTTCAGTGTTATATGTCAAGTGCTGCTATCTGATTTGCTCTTTCACCACACCTTCATATAACTGACTTCCTGAATTCGAAGCAAATGAGGCATCAAAAGAGCTGTTTGCATCTAGGGATGAGCAAATACCTCTTCTCTTTCTTTTTGGTTTATTTTTCCAGACCAACCTATGCATGATGAAGGAAAACTGGCTTTAATCAGGCACCAAATTTTCTTGGTTTTAAAGCAAGAACAAGGCACACACATTGCATGTAGCTGCTGAGAACAGCCCAGCTCAAATCACTGTTGCCATTAATGTTCGTGGCAGAGTGATTCTTGGAGGGTTCAGTCGGTGCTGGCAGGAAGTGTGAGTCTGATTGCAGGAGGAAGTGTGACTAATTGGCCGAGGGAACGAGCTCTCAGACTTCTGGAACAGGCTTTTCCCAAGTGCCTGCTGGGAGAAGCAGCTTCAGGGAGGCCTTTGCACCATCCAGTGAGAGCTGTTGTAGGTGAGGCCGAGAGTTGTGCTTGTCCTGGGGAACAAGACGTTGCAAAACTGAGTCTACAAAAAGACTGGGACCAAAACCTGCTGTGGGGGTTGTTTTTTATTGCCTGGATAAACTGCCTCTTTGGACTTCTCTAACTCGTGTAGTGGGGGGAACTTTTTCAGAAGAAGGGAATGATGAAGATTAGAAAGTGTTGACTGCTGCTGCCTTGATGGGTTTTATGGTGAGGATTAGGCTTGGAAGGAAGCACAGTGTGGACAATGGACAGGTATCAGCTGGGAACAGCTATTCAAGGGCTGGAGCTGGAGATGATCCATTCAGGAGCATTGTTTGACTATTATATTGTTGTATTTTCAAGAATGACTCCTAAGAGCTTTCCTATGAGGACAGGCTGAGAAAACTGGGATTGTTCAGCCTGGAGAAGAAAAGCTTTGGGGTGACTTAATTGTGGCCTTCCAGGACCTGAAGGGAGCCTGCAAGAAACATGGAGAGAGGCTTCTTGCAAGGCCTTGGAGTGACAGGACAAGGGGGAATGGGTTCAAACTGCCAGAGGGCAGGGATAGATGGGATATTGGGAAGAAATTCTTTCCTGTGAGGGTGGGGAGGCCCTGACACAGGTTGCCCAGAGAAGCTGTGGCTGCCCCTGGATCCCTGGAAGTGTCCAAGGCCAGGTTGGACAGGGCTTGGAGCAACCTGGGCTGGTGGGAGGTGTCCCTGCCCATGGCAGGGGGTGGGACTGGATGGGCTTTAAGGTCCCTTCCAACCGAAAGCACACTGTGATTCTGTGATTCTGTGGTAGTGGTGTAACTGAACAGGAAATGCAAACCAATTCTTTTGTGAGGAAGTCTCAGAATGACTCTGTGAGCAGGGCAGGGATCCCACGGCTGATGGCAGAGCTCAGCACTTGTGATTTCTGTTTGTTGGATGTGCTCAGGTGACAACCTCTGCTAAACCTCATGCCCCAAGCCCAGTGTGAGGCTGCAGCTTTACTCTCACAGTAGAGCATGTTACTGAAGTGAGTGTGGGAGTATTACTTCCAAAAATGTTTGTTCTTCATGATACTGCCTGTGCTACATTGAGAGGAGAACCAGGAGCAGCACCTGACAGTTTTTGTGATGTCTACACTGCTCACCAGTGCCCTGGGAAACTCTGCTGCAAGAATTAGAGAAGCTTATCTAACATCCATTTAAAAATGGTGGTGGTGAGAGATGGGAAATACCAGCTTCTCAAGGACAACATACTTGAACTACTTCCCTGTCCTTATTCTCCTGGAGTAAAAGTGAGCAGGGGTCGATTGTAACTCTTGGAATATTATTAGCTCGTTATGAAAATGTTCTACTTGGAATTCAGACCTTTGGAAATGGAGAACTCAGTGTGCCTGGTTCTTGGGGTGTCTAACAGGAAAGACTGTGTCTCCAGGGAGTAAATCTCTTTGGTTGGAGGGATAAAACTGCCTTGTTGGACAAGAAGTGGATTTGCTTTGGGATTGACAAGCGCTGTGAACGTGACTGTGCTCCCTTGGCTCTGGTCCCAGCCGTGGTTGTTCTGGTGGGGTGCTGGGGTTTCTCCGTAGGACACGTCCTTCAGGACAGGAGGGAGCAGTGAGCAGAGAGTTTTGTCTTCTGACCTGCATGGTTTTCTTCTGCTTGGCAGTGTTGGCAAAGCCTGCTGCTCTGCTCTGAGCCTGGGCTGTGCTCAGAGCCCAGGAAAGCAAGGGTGAAAGCTCCCTTAAGAAGTGGGTGTGATAACTCCTGAGGACATCTGAGCCAAAACCACGGGCAATGTAGAAGGCTTAGGAAGGTCATTGTACAAGTGCTGCAGGGAAAGGTCTTTTGTGTAATTTAGAAGCAGCTGAAGTGATAAGGAGACATAATTATCAACATTTTTTTTTTAATAATGGCAGGAAGTGACTATTTTCGTGCGTGCAGAATAGAGATTTGCTAAATTGAAAGTGCTCTGGCCACTCTAAGCTTATGGCTGCTGTGAGGTGAAGCAGGTGAAACTTAAGAGCTTTTAGAAATAGCTTGGGGGAGGTTTTGTGACCAAAATGCTCACAGGCTCATGTATGAAAACCTTGTGCTTATTTTTGTTTATTGTAATCCCACCTAGTTTTAATCAGAAAATTTACTTACTGATGCTGTTGTATGTGATACAGGTTATTATAAATGTAAGGTATTACATTATAAATGTAATTCATTTTCTGGGAAATGAAATAATTTTTCATCTTTCTCACTTTTGCTTGAAAATATTAGCTGTAAGAGCTTTAAAACTGTTCCTTTACTCGAAGCTTTAAGCTGATTGAAAATCAGTAATGAAAACATTTGTAGGTTATATGCTCTCAATGCAAATATTTACTTTAGAGTTGTAACAACTGAAGTCTTTCATTGCACACTTTGGGCTGTGGGGCCTATTGTAATGAAACTTCCCAGCTTTTTGGGGGGAAAACATTTCAGAGGAACATTAGAAGGTCTTGACTATGGTGATATTAGTAAACATCAGAATCTTTTGACTTAAACTGCTGTCAAAATGTAATTCCTCTAGTGATGCTTAAAAATTAGAGTGTTCAAGGCACCTCCTGCTTAACACCTCACACTCCCCACTCCAAAAAAAGCAGGAGCATGACCCTCAGGATGTCTGCAGAGTTTGTTTTTAAGATATGGGAAAAATCTGCATTCTTTGCCTCATTAGTGGAGGTGGATGTTGGGAGAACACAGAATCATGGAATGGTTTGGGTTGGAAGGGACTTTAAAGGTCATCTAAGTTCCAACCCCATCCAACCTGGCCTTGGGCACTCCCAGGGATCCAGGAGCAGCCACAGCTTCTCTGGGCAACCTGTGCCAGGGCCTCCTCACCCTCCCAGGGAAGGATTCCTTCCCAATATCCAGTCTAATCCCACTCTCTGGTCAGTGTGAAGCCATTCCCCCTTGTCCTGTCACCCCAGGCCCTTGTCAATAGTCTCTCTCCATCTTTCCTGTCGTCTCCCTTCAGATCCTGCAAGGCCACAATTATGTGACCTCAGAGCCTCTCTTGTCCAGTCTGAACAATCCCAATTCTCCCAGCCTTCCCTCAGGGCAGAAGGGCTCCAGCCCTCTAGGATGTACTAAAGTTAGTGGAAAACCAGTGCCCTGCTTGTTGCTGGAGACTGGTTGCTGATGATTTCCCTGTTCCTTGGTGGTTCCTTTGCCCTCGGGGGTATCTGAGGAGCGGGGCAGGAGCTCTCTCAGGGATGCTGATGAACGGTCACGGTGGATTCTGACGCTTGTTTTCCCTCTGTTTAGGGAGTGACAATTCCCAGTCAGAGACGCTACGTGTACTACTATAGCTACCTGTTAAAGAATCACCTGGATTACAGACCAGTGGCACTGCTGTTCCACAAGATGATGTTTGAAACAATTCCCATGTTCAGCAGCGGAACTTGCAGTAAGTACCCGGCCCCCGGTGGGAAACGTGGGCCTCGAACGTGGTGATGGCACCAAGAGCTGCACACCTCCATGGAGAAGGTCACATTTACACCCCTCACCTTCCAAAATCTGCTGGGTTAGTGTGGTCTGTCCGCTGGGATCCTCCCAGGTGTGGTAGCTCGAGGTCTGGGAGAGACTCAGGATTGTTTTACTGCAGTTTGAAACTGGGAAGTGTTTGATGGTTCAAAGATCAGTGATGCCATGTACAGAGTCAGTAAGGTTGGAAAAGGCCTCCAAGACCGTGGAGTCCAACCTCTGACCCACCACCACCTTGTCAACCAGAGCAGAGCACCGAGTGCCACGTTACTTGACCACACCCAGGGATGGTGACCCCACCATCCAATATGTTTATATTTCAATATTTGCTCCTTACTTTTATAAAAAGCCTCCTTTTTTTTTAAATACAGCAACTCTTGGGAAACATGAATTGCTGCAAAACATTTGCTTAATGGCGTGTTGGCTTCAAATGCAGCAACATCATTCTCCCCATGATGTTTAAAAAAAATAAATGAATCAGTTCAACTGGGTAAATATCTAATTAACTCTGGAATAAACTTTTCTTTATGTGGAGGCTTCTAAAGCCTGGAATACACCTGTAAATGATTAACCTGGTACACTGTGTTAGGAAGGAACAGCAGATTTCTTGAAACTCTGTAATATAAATACAAACTCTGCTGTCCTGTGGGCTGCGTGACAGGGCAGTAACTGCCTAGTGCTGCGTGTTCATTTTTTTTGGTGGTGGAAAAAATCTTTCTGGTGGTTTTGCTATGGGGATTACAGCAATGTGTAATTAATTCCAGTGCCTCCCGTGGCTTTGATTAAAATGGGCCCTGTTAATATTGTTGTGAGACACTACCTGAACACGTAACACACAGAAGAAACAATCGAGCAACTTGTCAGGCTGGGCTGAGGAGGAGGAAGGGAGGAGCCTCTGCCAAAAAACCTCTGCCTCTAGGGGAGAGGTGTGGAGGTTACAGATTTCTGCAATTACCACTTATTTAATGTTTTGGATAAACTGTGCTGTACTTGCCAAATGAAGCTACAAGTCTGAATCACTCGTGTGAGCATTGACTTGGGTGTCCATGGCAGGCTCTCGGAGTGCTGGTTTCATGGGATGAACAACAGATTTGCCAAGCACCTGAGAAGGCAGATGAACTATCAACTTCAGCATCTTTGTCTGCTGCAATATTTTAAGTTTCTCTGGAGTTTTCAGTGATTTTTTCAGAATGTGAAACCCGTGGGCTGTGTTGTTTCTTTAGTTGCATTATCGACTGCGATGGGAGGAATTTTACATTGAACACAATATCTTCAAATCTGACTTCCTGGTTATCATTCTGCTGTTCTAAAGTCACTGACCTAGAAGGGTTGTGCCTCTCAGGCAAAATGAAAGGATGGCAGGGTTTCACAGCTCTGAGGATTTGAGGGAGATAAGGTGAGAGAGTTGGGGCTGCTCAAGCCTGGAGAAGAGAACTGCTGTGTGGAGACCTCACAGCACCTTCCAGGATCTGAAGGGGCTGCAGGGAAGCCAGATGAAGACTCTTATCAGGAACTGTGGTGATAGGACAAGGGGGAGAAAGGCTTGACACTGGCAGAGGGGAAACTTAGGTTGGAAATATGGATGAAATTCTTCCCTGGAAGGATGGGAGGCCCTGACACAGGTTGCCCAGAGAAGCTGTGGCTGCCCCTGGATCCCTGGAAATGTCCAAGGCCAGGTTGGACGGGGCTTGGAGCAACCTGGGCTAGTGGGAGGTGTCCCTGCCCATGGCAGGGGTGGGACTGGATGAGCTTTTAGGTCCCCTCCAACCCAAACCATTCCATGGCTCTCTGAGTCTGTAACAGTTTCACAGCTGGGCCCTTCAGCAGGATAATGTGGATGTGCTCCATAGGGATTCCCACAGCTCTGCAGGGGTGTCTGGCAGTTTCCAAAGAAACCCTGCTTGGACTGCACCAAAAGCCTCTCATAATGTCACTGTTACCACTGCAGATTTAATTTGGGAGTTCTGCTCTTTGGTGCTGGGGAGATATACAGGACCAAGTCGGTGCTGGTTGGTTTTGTATATTAATGTTTGATTCTATCCTTGGTTTTGGTTGTTTAACAGTTGTGTTTGTGTAAGAGAGAAGTTTGTGCTGACATGACCACCCACTCTACAATTGGAAGGAGAGATGAGAGAGAATAAAACCCCTCAGATCCATGTGATGTAGCGAGGAGAGGCAGCACACAAACAACATCAAGTAGTTGTCACTTCATATAGTTATTTCTTACTGTATTGAAAACAACAACTTCCTAGGAGCTCTGGTTGCCTGAAAGTATTGCCATGAAGGACAGAAATCTGTTGTTTGCAGTAGCCTCTAGAAAAGTTTGATGCCCTGTGGTGCTTAACACTTAAAAGATATTTATTGAACCTTGAAAATATCATGATTCTGCTGCTAATATTGTGCTTTTTGACCCTTTGGAGGCATTTCTTACAAAGTGACACTCTGTTTTGCCATGCAGATCCTCAGTTTGTGGTGTACCAGCTCAAGGTAAAGATATTCACCTCCCCTTCAGGACCCTCGAGACGTGAAGACAAGTACATGTACTTTGAATTCCCTCAACCTCTGCCGGTATGCGGTGATATCAAAGTGGAATTCTTCCACAAACAGAACAAGATGTTGAAAAAGGTTGGTTTCCTTGCTTTTTCTGGAAAATGGTGTCGAGCCCGATGCAGGGCTGGTACTCTGGTTCTTCTTCAGGGATGTGTAATCACAGTGTTTCATTCTTTGATTCCTTAATCCTTCGAGTTTTCCCAAGGAGCGGATCCACCACAGAAGGAAAGCTGGGTGTTTGGAGAGCTGGTGAGATTAGGTACAAAGGTTGGATAAAAACGATCCTGGATATATATTGCAGTCGTTTGGGTAGTAGTGAGTAATCTAATTGAGGAAGAAACATTCTCAGCCTAAAAATAGACTTGCATACTGAGCAAGTTAACTCCAGCTGTTTTCTTCACTAAATTTTCCTAAGGTTTTGAGCAGGCACAGAAGATCCTGTCTGTGCTGTTGGCTGATTCCTACCCATCTGTCAGATGTAGCTGAATTTCTGAGATAATTAAGTTCCTACGCACTTGGTAAAAGTATCTCTGCAGTCTCTTCAACCACCTCTCTGTTCCTGGCTGCAGTGCCTCCACTTTAGAGCTTTAGAGAATTCACTCAGCACTGAGGATTTTATCAGCTGTGGAAAGAAATTCATCTAGAACTTATTTTGAAACCACGTTCTTGAAGCTGAGTGGCTCCTCTCTGGGGTTCATTGGTTCTGGTGCTTGTGGTACTAGTTTGCATCTACCAGAGTGAAAGGTGAGGATGAGACCATGTTGATTGAAGGCTGCCTTTGTACTTGCTGCTTAAAATTGTTCATCAGTGGTTACTCATGGTTTAATGGAGGTTCTAACACTTGAGAGCATCCAGTGAGTGAGTTCTGTATACAGGCAGGGCCTAAAAATAAGAAATCCTGGAGTGGACTGGGAGACAAAACATAAGTGATCAGTCTCTTAAAACTGAGCATGCAGGTTGTACCTACTAGCTGTGTGTAAATACACATGCACACTGTTTTGTGGGCTTGTTCAGGTACCAGGTGCTGTTACCAAATTTAATCTATGTGCTGATGTCTGCAAAAGTTTTGAAACTGTTACTCAGTGGGGCTGTTTTCTGTTTAATGAGGTGTTTTAGTTGATCAGTGCAACTATATGCAACACAGTGTCTGTAAAACAAAGCTTTTGAAAAGTAGAAATTCTGCTTTTAAGTCAACATTAGGATTATTGGCATTTCAAACAGCAACACAAAACAGCCACTTTTGGGAACAGGAGCACCCAGATTGGTGCTGGGGGCTAGACATGAGGGGTGCAGGGAGGAGATGATACAAAACCCAGACATCTGACACAAGGCCCTGTTTTATCTGCACTCTGTCCTATGTGGACTGTAAATTTGCTGGGTTTTTACCATCTCCAGTAGCACATGGATTGCAAACAGGCATTATAGGGAACATTGTGCTGCCCTGCCCAGCCCAGAAATCCCAGTGTGCAGGTCAGCTGCTGGATCTGGGCCCTGTGGCCTCAGGAACACACTCCTGTGTTTGTTTTACCCCTGGAGAGAGCAGTGAGATCAGTGACAGCAGAAACTGGAGCTGCTGGTGAGCACACACCATTTCTGCAGTGTAAATTCAGTCTTCAAGAGCATGTAAAGCTTCAGAATCCCACAGCAGGAGTGTTACTGGGCTGGACTTTCATTTCAGTGTCAAAGATTGTGGTTTCATTTCTTAGGAGTCCCTTTGTAGTTTCTGAGGAGCTGGTTGATGTACTTTTTTTTCTTTTTGTGTATTCTTACCAAGCACCAGAACTGTTTGGGTTCTGTGGGTTACAGGTGGTGCAGTGGTTCTCCTTTTCTCAGTGTTCTTGGCCTGTTAGGGCCAAGAAGTGGTAAAAGCTCTTCTTTTCACACCTGCAGACTTAAAATTTTAAGATAGAAACCCTTCACCAGACAGTAAAGAAACCACCTTGACAACCAAGTATCTGTTGAACTGAGTGTCTGATTGCCTCAACTTTCAGTACCAATGGGGCTAGAAGGAAGTAGGTGTGAGATGTTCCCCATGTTCCCCAGTTCTGGTAAGATCACCTCTCTCAGCTCTGCTGGAAACACAGGCAGGAGCAGATCCTTCCACATGGTCCTTTGACAGCTTGTTACATGAAAATCTGGGAACAGGGCAAAGGTGAATATTGGTGACAGAAAAACCTACCTTGGCTCAAAGCTGTACACATTTCTCTGTCCAAGTGTTTCACTTCTCTGCCTGTTCCCTTTCTGGATCAGCTGACTACACAGCTTTTACTCAAAACCCCAAAAGTGAGGGCCTTCCAGTGGGGAGACTTGTGTTCTTTTAAAGCTCACCTCTCTGCAGGGATCACCTGAGTCATGAGGAGCAGTATAATTAGGAGGAACAGGATCTTATCTTCCAGAGGTTCTGGCTTAGTCACCAGGTTTATGAAAGGTGGAATTCCAAGTCTGTTGCCTGTCTCTGTCCTTCCCAGGTTTTCTGTTAGCAGATTTATAGGTAGCTGTTGCAAGTCTTAAAAGACATCACATATTTACCAGTCTGCATTTTAACTTTAATATAATAAAAAAAACTAATAAGATCAATTAAAAGTGTTGTTCCTGATCCGTTCTGAGCCTCAGGCTGGAGAATGGCTGTGTCTCAGCCTCTGGAGAGAAAGAAAACTTCTGTGTCCTCCTGCTGGGCCTGGGCTGGTGTTTGACAACACTGACCTCAGCTGAAGTGCCCCAGATTCCCTCAGCATTCCTTGCTTCCAAAGTTCTTAATCCTTTGGAGAGCAACAGCACTACCTGCAGAGCTCTCTAGTTGGGAGGGTCCTCCTGAAGTTTGATCAAACTCTTTTTGGATAAATTATTATGCACAAACCAAATCAAACTGGAACAACCAAGCACCTAGTATGGCAGAGACAGTGTGAAACTTAGAACAGCCACACGTCCTGCCTTTAATGGCAAAAGTTAATTTTGGTGGCTGTTGAGGGCTGGGCTCAGCCAAAGGATTGTTGGTAAGGGGGTGACTGCTTTGGAAAAGTTTCCCTCTTTCAGCTCTTCCACAGTCTCTGCCACCTGGCATCAGTTAGGAAGTCCAGAGCTTTTGGTCTTTTCTTGTCTAATCAAGTTGTTTACTTTATTCTCAGACCATTTCTTCAGTGTGATGTAGCTACTTCCTTTCAAGAATGAAATGCATGCCCACATGAGAACAAAATGGCTTGGGGCTCCAGTACAGTTATTGTGTATGAATTTCTGATGGATAGAATTTAGCAATCTGGGGGATGTTTTTTGGAGCATGACTTTTTGTTGTCCTGCCTTGTAGCTTGACTGTTCTTCCATCTCAGACTGCTGCCATAGTCTCTCTAGGTTTGCTTCCATGTATCTGTGCAGAGCCTTTTTTTCTTCCAGTTATTGATGCTGACATGATAATTTTTAAGTATTTCAGAGTATCCTTAGATCACTCGGTTCAATGAAGAGTCTGTTTAAAAATAATACAGAAGATCTCCTAATCTTCCTGCCTCCAGAGCCTGGGGGTGAAGGAGACCTTTTTCAGGAGTCCTCCCAGTACAGATGAGAGGGAAATGCTGCTGTGGGTTTACTTTGTAGGAGTCAGGGGTGTTTTAGTGCCAGTCTCCAGCGTGGGCAGGGCTGACAGCATTGTTAAAGCAGTTGTGTTTCAGCTCTCCAGTCTGGAGATGAGAAGTTCTGTTTCATAGTTCAAGGAGACTTTTTGGGCAGTTGCTGTTTGGCAAACACTGAAGAATGAACTCTGAAAATGTCAGAAGACTTGAACTGTTGATCTGAAAATGGTACAAGAAGTTCCCTCAGCCATGACTGTGGGAGGGCTGAGGCCAGCATGGAACAGGCTAAAACAGGATCTCCATGTCTTGGACAGCATCTCCAAACCCCTTGGTTTGCTGCAGAGTGATGGGAAGGGCCTGTAGATCTCTCTGCAAAGTAAACTCTCAGGAGGAGATAGGAACTCTTAACTGATGGCTTAAATGGTCTTGGATTGGATCTCAGCCTGCAGTTAGAGACAGGTCCCAGCTCTAGAGTGAAGAATGTTTTTCTGCCAGTGAGAGCTGAGAAGCTGCACGAGGTAGGAGTAGTCCTGTGTGTCACAATAGGGGGATTAAATCAGCTTTTTTTGGTAGATTTTATGGTACAGATCTGGTTATGGAAGAAATACAGCTGTGATTTTATTTTTTTTTTTAAGACAGATGTCTGTGATGTAACTGGAAGTGAAGCAAAACACATTGAAAAACAGTCTCTGATACTCTTTTTCAGAAGCCTATTCATTAAATTGTCTTATGTGAGCACTTGGTCTGGTATTTTGATTTGCTATATAAAGCCCAAATTCAGTTCATGCCTTGATTTTTAAAAATTCCTATCTTTGGCCCATATTACATCATCTTTCTTCGTTGTCTTGCATGAAATATCTTGGAGTCTGATGCTTTAGCTGAATCCTCACTTTGAATAAGGAGGTTTATTCTTCAGTGCAAACAGCGACACTGTTATCACCCATAGGAGCTAATTCCAAAAAACCTGACCAAGTCTTCCCTCTGTTTGAGTGGCTGTGCCATGTTCCAGGACCCATGAACTCAGTTTATGAAGCTAATTAAGTTACTGTAGTGGGAAAGAAAGGAAAATAACCCAATGCTTTACAAAGCTGGAGGGAGATAAAAGGAAAAATGACCAGCTCAGCTGAGTTGTATTGTTTAGTTTGAGTCCCTGAAGACCTCTGGAAATTTATCCCAAGGAAAACAGATTAAAAACTGTCTAGCAAGAAGTTTGTCATCTGTCTTGTCTTCTCCAGCCTCTGTCTGTGGAGCTGAGTCCCTGCAGTTGCTTGTTCAGGCAGGCCCTCAAATGCCAAGTAAATCCTTCCTGGTTCTGCCCCCTGTGCTGGAGTTGAAGGTGAGGCATGACAAGCCCGTGCCTTCTGCTGGCATTACTTCACATCCAGGGGCCTGGTTTTCCTTGGCACTGCTTCCTTCCACTGTTTTGAGCCACTTTCCATCCGTGTGCTGCACACTGGAGGTGACACAGGTGGCACTGAGGACCTGCACCAGTGGCAAAAGTGTTCCCAGAAAAAAGGCTTCCAACACAACTGTAATTACAGCATGTTAATTTGGCAGATCAGCTTGATTGCCAAAGGTGCTGGAGAGGCCTGTGGTGAAGTGGGTAACTTCTTAACTTCCAGAAGTGTTTCTGCCTGAATTATTTGACTTCTGTCTCTGCCATTGCCCTTTGTTACAGGCTGGGAGTCTCTCAGGTGCTCACAGAAATGCACACAAGCTGGAAGGGGTTTTTTGTAGGCTTTACCTAAAACACTGGAAATGGTTCTGCTGACCTTTGGTAGAGAAGGCAGGCAGGTAGAAGTTGGTTGATCAGACACTTCTGAATTTCCAGGATTTGTGTACTTATTTTTATTGATTTCTGAGTGTAAGTTAAGGTTCTGGAATGGAGCAACAGATTCAGCAGGGATGCAGCATTGTGGGGAGACTGGTCATTTATTTGCAGTTTGGATCTTTTGCATGAAAACTCAAATCAGAGTCAAATGGCAGAGTTCCTTTGTGAGGAGCAAGTAAATACAGCTCAGCTTCAGGAGAAATGCTTCATGTGTGAGGTTGGACCAACCTGCCAACCACAGCTGATCTTGGAAACGTCAGCTCTTGACTGGCAGAAGGGCAAGAGATGGAGAGCTAAACCAAGGGCATTCAGTGCATCCTGTGGAGCTGTTGAGGGGAGGTTCCTGGGTGTATCACCCTCACAGCTTGTCCAGCCAAGAGCAAAACCAGTTGACCACACAGGGAGAGAGATGCTCCCCTGCCAGTCTGAGCGGGGAGTGTGTGATGCTCTGGCCAATGTCAGCTGGTTCTCCAGCCTTCAGAATCACTGAGACAGTGATGGTTTGCCTCTTTGTGCAGGTATAGCTGTGGCAGTGTCAGTGGATAACCAAACTTGTACCTGTTGGTCATCTGTGAAGTTCTGCTTAAGCTGGATATACCTCAACTATCCCTGCCTCAGCTTCTCCTAAAAAACCTCTGCTGAGCAGAAGGGCAGCAGACACTGGGTCTGACTTCTCTTAGTACTGGTCAGCAAAGGTCTGACTGGTAGGAACCCCCTCAGTAAAGCAGTAATGAATCCACTGCTAAGGGAGTCCTGGATTTGTGGGGTGGTTTTGCTCAATTACAGCTATTTCTGTATAAAAATAAAGAAAAGCTTTCTGTTGGGGGGTAGACTGTTCTGTATGATCAACATTTAACTCACCTGAGCTGGTTTACTCGGGTTGTCTGTTAGGTTTGGCAGTTGCTTGGCAAGGTGTGAAGCAAACAAAATCTGTTTATGCCTTGTGATTGCAAATTTAAGACTTATTTAATTTCTTGTCCTCCGCTTTTATTGTAGGTATGATAGTTGTAAACCCAACTTTCGATAAGGAGTGACTTCTGAAAGCTTGATTGCTTAAAACTGAGCTTGATTAATGCAGAGTTCTGTGTGTTGTGCAGGAGATTTGGTGAAAATGTCTTTGCATGCAATGTAACCAGTGCTGTACTGTTGTCCAAACAAGTTTTGTCTGTTTATTACCTATTTGTTTCTGACCAGATGATGATGATGATGATGATATTAGTCTAATGAATGTGCCAGTAGTGAATACTAAAGCAAGCTTGTTTTTTGTGTTCTTCCTCCCCCAGGACAAAATGTTTCACTTTTGGGTAAATACATTCTTCATAGGACTGGATGAAAATTCAGACAAAGTAGAAAATGGAAGTCTAGTTGCAGATCAGGAACTTGATGGTATTTTCAGTACAGAGCGCTCAGATAATGATAAGGAATATTTAATCCTTACATTAACAAAAAACGATCTAGACAAAGCAAATAAAGACAAAGCCAACAGATATTTCTCTCCAAACTTCAAGGTCAGTATATATTCTGTGTGAACAAAGCTGAAAAGCTGCATGACTTGCTCTGATTTGTCTGTCTTGCCTCACGGAGGGACCGTGTGAATCCGCTGGGTAGAGATTGAGTCCCTGTGTTGGTGTTGCCACCACTTAGCAAAGTTCTTTGCTTTGGATGTTTATCTGCTTTCTGGGAAGCTGATAGATGTTGAGAACTGGGATTAAAGCCTTCAGGTTGTTTCAGGTATTTCTCAAAGCCATTGGAGACGAGTAGCAGGAGAGCCAGTGACCCAGGTGGCATCTTCCCTGGAGCAGCTGCGTTGCACGAGCTCTGAGCTTGACACACTAATTCCTGACTTGATTTGCCTGTTTTGTGGGAAGCAGAGGGGCCACAGGGATGATGAGGGGTCTGGAGCATCTCTTATGAGGAGAGACTGCAGGAGCTGGGCCTGTTCAGTCTAGAGGAGAGAAAACTGAGAGGGGATCTCATCAATCCACACAAATATCCCCAAGGCAGGCACCAAGAAGATTGTTCCAGACTCTTTTTGGTGGTGCCCAGCGACAGGATGAGGAGCAACGGCCATAAACTAAAACACAAGAGGTTCCACCTCCACATGAGGAAGAACTGCTTTGTGTTGAGGGTGGCAGAGCACTGGAACAGCTGCCCAGGGGGATCGTGGAGTCTCCCTCTCTGGAGACATTCCAAACCCACCTGGACATGTTCCTGTGCCACCTGCTCCTCTGGGCAGGGCAGTTGGACTGGGTGATCTCCAGAGGTGCCTTCCAACCCCAGCTCTTCTGTGAGTCTGGGAATACCTTAACCTGGGAGTTAAGCTTTGAGGAATACAAGCCATTGCCAGCAGTGTTTTAAATGTGGCAAAGGCATTTGTAAGAACCTGAGCATTTTCTACCTTGCTCAGAAAATATCAGCCAGACTCTGGCAGTGCTGGTTTGAAGGTAATGGTCAGAGCTGCTCGTTGGAATGTTGCTTGGATCAGACTTTTCACACACCAGTCACCCATTAGAGAGTGTTTTATTTGTTCCTGTGCAGTCTTACAACAATTCCAGAGCTCTGGAAGGTAGGAGGATTGAAAAGCTTGGCCTGCTGTGCTGGTGTGTCCTGCTGCTACAACTGGGGAGCACCAGTGACTTCTGCAGGCAGGCACAACTGGGCTGGAAAATCCTGCTGCTGGGCCAGGGCTTTATTTTGCCTGCTGTGGCAGGGAGAGGCTGGAAAACCTGTCTCTGGAGAGAGAGGAACACTCGTGTGATTCAGTGTAGCTGTTAAAAATTGCTTTGTTACCTGTGCTCGGTTCAAGTCCAGGTTTCCTATTTAAATGTTGTTTTTTCCTTCCCCAGGTGAAGCTATTTTTCACAAAAACAGTAGAAGAGCCATCAAACCCCGAGGCTAGCAGTTCAACTTCTGTAACACCAGATGTTAGTGACAATGAACCTGATCATTATAGATACTCTGACACCACTGACTCTGATCCAGAGAATGAACCTTTTGATGAAGATCAGCATACGCAGATTACAAAAGTCTGAATATTTTTTTTATCGGAGATAAAAAAAAAAAAAACATACAAAAAAAAACCCCACCAACCATGAAGAGAGACAAACTTGAATAAACTGAAAAAAAAAAAAAAAAAAAAGGACCTTTCTAAATGGCAAAAGGACATAGTGTCAGATTACCAGTTATAGGAACAATTCTTTCCTGACCAATCTTGTTTTGCCCTATGAATCTACAGGGTTTGACACTTGTCCAGTCGGGGGGAAAAAAAGGAAGGTTACGTAGCTCTTATATGTATATACCTTTTTGTGTCAAAAGGACATTAAAACTTCAATTAGGAACTATAAACATGGCACTTTCCCATTTTATTCCAGTTTTATAAAAGTGGAGACAGACCTAATGTGTATGCGTAGGAATTTTTCCTTTTGTGTTCTGTCACCAAGCGAAGTTCCAAAACCGAAAACGACAACAGCGACGACAAAAAAAAAATTTACAGGTTCACATCCTGCCCCTTTTTTTGCACTCGTGTGGCAACAGAAAAGTCTGCAGTTGGCTAAGAGGTGTTTCTAGAAGGTTTTCCTACATTCTAATGCATGTCTTTTGGCTGGGGGATGGAAAGGAATGCTCGGGAGGGAGCGTGGCCTCCGTCCCGTGTCCGGCTGTTCCATGCACCTTTCCTTAGCATGCTGCCCCAATCCATCCGGGACAATGGAGGAGGAGCCGCCGCTGTCACTGCTTGTCCTTCGTGCATTTTCATTTTTTTCCTTTTTTCAGTGTAATGGTGCTAGAAAAGGCAGCTAGAGGGGAGTGATTCCGTGGTTCTGTACCGGGGGGACAGGAGTGAACCTTCCCCGCACCCGCGAGACCCCGCGCCAGGAAGGGAGACCAATTCTTGGGGTCACACAAAAAAATATGAAAAAAAAAAGGAAACACAGCAACAATGACTTAACCATACAAATGTGGAGGCTATCAACGAAAATAGGAGCTTGAAAACAAATGGTTACAAAATTTGACAATGATTTATTGGGTTGTTTTCTTTTTTTTTTTTTTTTCCTGAATTGTAATGGCTGCTCCATCTCCTGTGTAATCAAGGCCAGTGCTAAAAGTCAGATGCTCTTAGTGCAGACATCAGTCAACATCTTACATTTATATTAGTAGTTTTTCAATCATATTCCTGCTGTGAATACTTCATGTGCTGCCTTGCAAGCTTTTTTTTTTTTTCCTCATGAATATAAAAATATTTTGTAATGGTGCACAGGAAATGTCATTGGAGATTCTCCAGGTTAGTGTTTGTTTTGAAGGTTTCTGATGCATTTATTCAATCAAACCTCTGTCAGCTGTTCCACCCCTTTGACCTTACACATTCTAATACAATGAGTTTTGCAGTTTTGCACACTTTTAAAAAAGAAAAAAAAAAAAAAAGAATTCAGTAACTGTTAGGGAATTTTACTTGAATGCTCAGTACCTACAACGTTTGAAAAGCAGACCTTACACACGATAGAGAGGAAACCAGTGTTGCAGTAAATTCTCAGTGCTGCAAATGAAGATTAAAAAGCAGAAGTTGTCCCAAATAAATTGCTTGCTATGAAAAAAAAAACAGCAAATTAGTTTTGTACACTAACTGACAGTGTTGTGTTATCTGTCTGTAGGGATATTAGCCAAGGGTAGGGCTTGAGATTCCCTTTTGGTGTGTAATTGTCATGCCCAGACTGCAGATGACTTCAGAGTACGAGTGCTGTGGCATCCAGAGGTGAAGCAGCTGCCCAAATTGTCCCCTCTGAAGTACATTGTGAAGAGCTGAGCCCAAATGGATGCTTTTTTTTAGTATATAACTCATTCCCCCCCACCCCCCATTAACTTACTGGTGCTGACAGTGAAGTTCATGAGCTGTGCTCTCACCTGGAATTATGTATGGAATCTGTACAACAGCATTAATGGTTGGAATTGGAACGAGACAAGGCAGGGCTTCCAGTAATTACTGTTGGTAAACAAAGGTATAAAGGGCTTTTCTTTTTGTTTTCTTGCCTGGTATCAGTTGGTCAATTTTGGCTCATCAGACTCATGATTCTAACTTCTAACAAAGCTGGTAAATACTTTCTGACTTAGAGGTTTAATTAGGCTTTAATAGCTTAATGGATCAAGATTGCTGGTTCCAGCACTTGTCATTCCCAGTGCTATGAGGAGCAGGAGGTGGTTCCCTTGGGACATGGATATTGAACTCTTACCCTTCCAATCACGTTTCACCTTGTCCGGTTTATAACAGTTGAAAGTTGTGTTGGCTTAATAAACAAAAACTGTTGATGCTTTAAAAGTATTTGGATATTGACACTGCTGCGTGTCCCGCTTTGGATAACAGAGGTGGGATCAGTGTGGTTCCAGCCTGGAACGCTGAGGGATCGGAAATCATGGCGCGATGGGCTTTTGCACTGTTATTTTTCCTTTGGAATGTGAAGGTTGGAATGAGGGTTTTGATTTTTTTTTTTTTTTTTTTTTGAATGTTTCGATGTCTTTGAGAAGCCTTGCTTACATTTTATGGTGTAGTCATTGGAAATGGAAAAATGGCATTATATATATATATATTATATATATAAATATATATTATACATACTCTCCTATACTTTATTTCAGTTACCACCCCCATAGAAGTTGACAAGAATTACTATGACTGAAAGGTTTTTGAGTCCTTATTAAAACTTTATTTATGACAGTATTCATAATTAGCTTGAACTGCATTCTGTAGGTAATCTTTCCTTGAGTTTCTGGACTTGTACGCTCCGATCTTTTTGGATGTGCAACAGCTTACATGTCTGAAACTACTTGAAGGCATCACTTTGGTAAGAGCTTACTGTAAGGCCCTGAAAGCATCCCCCTGCTCATTGGCAGCCCCAGCTCCAAACCTTGGCCACAGCTGCTGCAGGGGCAGCTGCAGAACTCACACCCAGATTTCCCCTCGTGGCACACGTCGTAAACCCAGGTGGAGTTTACACGCGGCATCATTCCAAAAAAAACCACAAACCAAAACCCACAAAAAACCCCCTTTGTAACGATCAAAAAAACCCGGGATGCTGGTGTGCAAGTTCCATGTTTAGTCCTAGCAAATGTGTGCAATATGTTAACGATGCCTGTGGTTGCCACGAAGTGCCTCGTTTACCTTTGAAATGCTGTTAGGAAGTGTCGTGCATGCAGATGGATGGGGTGGGACTGTGCACTAAAAGGGGCTCCAACTGCAGCGTTTGGCAGAGCTGCCTTTCTCTGCCGGTTCAGATTTCCAGTCTTGTTTTCATATAGCATATATATATATAGATACTAAAAGAAAAACAAAAAAAAAAAAATCAAGTCTGTTAAGCAGCCTTACTCTGATTCAGCCTCTTCAAATACTATTGTGCTGTGCAACAGTGGCTCTGTGTGTAACTGAGAATACACAAAAACCAAGTATGACATGTACAGGATAATGCCTCATACAAATCAGATGTCCGTTTGTTATTGTGTTTAACAACCCTTTATCTCTTAGTGTTAAAACTCCACTTAAAACTGATTAAAGTCTCATTCTTGTCACTGTGTGGGTGTTTTATTGAAGTGCTTTGAGTATGGGAAACAGTCAGCTGGAATGTTCTGCTTGTAAGCCATGAAATTCTGGAGCGTGATGGTCGAGCCAAGGGTGCTCCTTGTGCCTCCGGGGATTTTAAGGGAACTGCAGCTTAAAACCCTTTTGTGTTCAGAGGCTTTAACAGAGTGCAGGCAGTGGAAGTGCAGATTGGGTGCAGGGATCTCAAACCCTTCCAGTGCCTAAAGGAAGCTGACAAAAACCATGGAGCGAGACTATTTCCAAGGGCCTGGAGGGACAGGACAAGGGGGAATGGCTTCCCACTGCCAGAGGGCAGGGTTAGATGGGATACTGGGAAGAAATCCTTCCCTGTGAGGGTGGGGAGGCCCTGGCACAGGTTGCCCAGAGAAGCTGTGGCTGCCCCTGAATCCCTGGAAGTGCTCAAGGCAAGGAGATGCATTTTTCCCATAGAATCATGGAGTCGTTAAGGTTGGAAAAGCCCTTTGAGATCCTCGAGTCCGTGCTCAGCACACACATCAGGTGTGTCATTTGGGGATTCTTCTGGCTGCTGTTTGCAAACTAGACTTTAAACTGGCTCTTAAATCCTAGGTGGTGTTCCCCTGGTGTGTAGGGTTACCCCCAGAGCCTCTAGGAATGTGAGACCCGTGGCAAGGAACCAGGGAGCTCCTCTGCACCCACAGGTGACTTTGGGTAACTGTGGTTATTCCTGCTGCCTTCCCACTGGTGTTAGAGTCAGCCCTGTACCACATTTGGCTGTGCATCTCCAAAACCATGCAGATTGAAGTAGAGGTTTGGTGCTGTGGCCTGTTCTGCTCTTTGGTGGTTTGAGAAATGGCAGTTTTGGTGCTCTGGGGGGCTGGAGGGCTTGGCAGGTGAATGACACAGGTGACATCATCTTTTTAGAACAGAAGGTGGTACCACCCAAGCTGTTAATATGCCTGCCTTTTGTTGGGGTGAGCTTGTTTTGCATCCAGAAAGTGAAAACAGAGTGGGAAGATGTCCAGGACGGACGGGAAGCTTTAAGGAAAGTCGTCTGAACAGCCTTCAGCATGTTGAGTAGCTTGTATAAATATGTAGCTCTCTGTATATGAAGGGTTCTGGTCTGGAGACAGGTGGAAAGCCCTGTGGCAGTGGTGATGCTTGACCTGCCCTCCACGTCCTGTGCTGCAGCCCTTGGCAGCTAAAAGGAGCTTCTGTACAAAAATGCTCATTTTTTTTTCCCATTTACAGCTGCCTGTACAAGTGCTCTGGTGCCCAGGGTGGTGACTGTGCTCCCCAGGGTGGTGCTGGGTGGCTGCACAGGGGACAGTCCCATGTGCTCCATCCCCTGCACCGCTTCCCATGTCCTCTGACATGTCTCCCTCCAGTGTGGGGGCCTGGCTGAGCTTTCCCTACCTCTGGCATCTGCAGCTCTGTGTATTCAGGTGTCTTTTTAGGCAGGTTGGTTAATAATTAATTGCATCTTTTTTTAAAGCTGCAGCCAGAGTTCTAAATTCCACTCTTCTGAGCAGGGGTTCTGTTGGTAGCAGACTTTTGAACCACCTTTTTTTGCAGTTGGTTGGTGTTTTGGCTCTGAGATGAGTGCTGGTGTCCACCAGGGAGGATGTTCCCCTGTTAGTCTGGCCAGATTCCCTAAGGAATCTCTGCCTGGTGCCACAGAGGGGTGGTGGTGTCTGTGGGTGCAGTAGGAGCCGAGAGGCTCAGACAGACAGACAGACCCTCAGGAGGGACAGATCAGAAACAAAGCCCAACAAACCATCCCTACAGGCTGAGATACAAAGGGAGGGCAGGTCAAACGAAGAGCTGGATCAGTGTCTTCTCAAAACCAGAATATGAATTGCTTGCTACGACCTCTTTGGCTCCTTCTCTACCTTATTCTTTGGTATTTTCTCAAACCCCATCTTTCTTCATCTGTCCTTGGTCATTCTGCTCCTTTTTTTTCTGTACAATCCTGTGCTGGGCACATGAAAAAATCCATTTATTTTGAACTGATTGTCCTCATAGAATAAAACCCCACACTTGTTTTTTGCGTTTTTTTGCCTTTTACTGCCTGTGTTTTTTCTGGTTGGGCTTTTTTTAATGCTGTTCCATTATTTTTCCGTGTGTTTCTTCTCATTTTCCACTTTTCTTCTGTGCCTTCAAACTTCTTAGCCACTGCTCCCTCTGTTGCAAAATAGGACAGATAATTATTTTCTGCCTGCTTCTTATTTCTTTTTTTTTTCTTTCTTTTTTTGGTACACCAAGCTTTAGTCTGAAGGAGAAAAGCTTTTGGGTTGCTTTTTTTTTTTTAAAAAAAAAAAAATAGCTCTGAAAACATCAGGGATGTGCAGGTTCAGCAGATGTGTTTGCCTTGGTGAGCTGCTGATGTGCTGGACGAGTTTCTCCATCCTAATGGCAACGATGAGCACATGGGCTTGACTTGTGATGAGCAACCTGAATTAAAAACAAAAAACCAAAAAAAAACCAAAAAAACTTGTTAATTAACTCCTGGGCTACGGTTTCCAGCTGCAAATGTTTCTCTCTGGGCTGTACTGATGTAGGAAAAGGGTTTAGTGAGGTGTATTTTCGCTTTTTGAGGGCTCTTGTGCTTCACAACTTCGTGTCCCGTCGCTAAGATGGTGAGAAAAAGGTGGCACTTTGCCTCCCTGGGGCAGCCTGTTCCTGTTCCTGGAGCATCTTTCATTCAGGGAAGAGTCTGAAGTTGTTAAAAGGGGATGTTTTAGAGGCCGAAGTTTGTCCTTTAAAATGCCCTTTGTGTAATTCAGGCTGCTAAAGGCCCTACTTTTCTTTTTGGCCTTTGACGGAGCAGTTTGTAGTGGTGATGTTATGTGGGGTTTGGAAGATGAGGAGGCTGAAAGCAACTGGGAAATGCTGGATTAAGGAATTTGAGGAGCTGAGGGGTGGTGGTGGGGGAACAGAGAGATCAGGGCTGCCCCATCCTCCAGAAGGTTTTTGTGGTAGAAGGAAAATGGCAGAAGAAACCGGGAAGGATCCTGTAATGGAAACCTGGGCACAAATGAACATTTTGAGTGGAAATTAATGAGTTTCAAGGCCGAGGCGGCAAAGTCTTTAATGTAAAGCAGGATTTGGTAATGGGAGAGAGAAACCTCGTGGGTGGAGGCATGGAACTTGTGAGAAGAGGGGTGATGGCACATGTTTAGACAGATTTGCTGAGGTTTTGCAGGGCTGGTATAAAACAGCTGATGAGAGGTGGCTGAGAGGCATCTGGAGGGCTGAGTTTAGGCGGGAGATGCGTTTGAGAGGTTGGCTTGGGGATCCTTGGCTTTAAAAGTGTTTGAAACTATGGAAACGGGATGGCTGAGAGCTACAGACCATGGTTAGGACTGCAGGCAGCTCAGGAAAACCTTGGGATTCGCGTTGGAGGCTGGTGAAGAGCTCATGTTAAGATCACCCAGCAGGGAAAGTGGACTGATAACATGCACTCCCCAGCAAAAAGGGGAGTTCTTGCCCTTCTCTGAGTGTTAGCACTTGGGAAGGATGTGGCTTTTTCACAACTCTGCCTGAAATCTGGATGTACTGAAGTACACACAGTGGGTTTTGAGAATCTGAAGGTTCAGTGTTGCTCAGATCTGACCTACAGGTGGGCTACTGGTGCAAACCAACCTGCAGCTGAGGGCTGAGGATCTGATGGTGTCTGGGATAAACTGCAGCCCTGTTGGAAGGGGAAAGGGCTGGAAGCAGCTGGGAACCACTGAACTGAGAAATACAGGCTAATATTAAAAAGCAAAACAGGGAGGTGCTTCTGCCAGGCTGGGGTTATTTTTACCCCAGGTTGTCCATCCTCTTGGCTCTCAATTTAGCTGTTGTGTTGAAGGGAAGGAAGAGCTTTGCACAAGAGCTCCCAGCTCACATGTTTGTGCCTTGCTTCAGGAACCTGGAAAGCTGCTGCTTGCTGCCTGTCTCTGGGACAAATTCCTCACCTCCTCCTGTGGAGCACAGGGGGGGTGGCAACTGGTGCAGTACAGGTTGCTTTCCTTGAGTGAAAAGGATTTCTTGACATGCTTTCATCTTTCTCTCCCCATTTGACTTCTGATGGCACCTCAGGGTGAAGCCCAAATACCCTTTTCTGGTTGGCTCTGTGCAGCAGCACTCCAGGGACTGCTCTGGCTTCCCCTGAAGGTTGAAGTGAAAAAGAAAGATGCTGCAAGGAACACGCTTTGCCTCCTTCATCTCCACAGCTCCATCTGACAAACTGACATTGCAGGCAAGTAAGATCTGGAGATCTTATTTTAGGGGACTAAGATCAGATGTACCAAACTTTTATGTTCACGTAGGATAAAACTCTGCCTGTTTGATAAAAACCTGAGCCTTGGCAAAATATGTCTTGACCAATATCTGGAAGGCCAGGTATTTGGTGAAGAGGTGAAGGTCCCAGCTTGTGATCAGGAGCTTAGCTGGGGTTGCTTGCTCAAGTTGTGTGCTTAGCAGAGATTTTCCCTCTCCCTTCATCCTCATCCCTCTTATTCCCTGTCCTCATAGCCAGAAAACTCTGAAGTGGGAAATTTTAATTCCTTTGGTTCAGAGCAGTGCAGCAGCAGGACTGCAGGCTCCTCCGGGAAGGCAGGACTTGTTTTTTTAAGGATTTGACACATTTCCCAGCACCAGGAGGTGGATGGGTGAACACAATCTCATGCATGTGCACCCCCTGAGGTGGTCACTCCACTGGGTCTTGCCAGAGGAGGTGGGAAGAGGTGGCACGAGGAGGTGGATGTGCCCTGGAGTCACTTGCACTGGCTATTGATACTCTCAGGCACATGCTGTGACCCTCGGGGATGGTCCTGGGCAGGGATAAGGCTTGGGCTTGATGATCCTTGTGGGTCCCTTCCAACTCAGCATATTCTGTGATTCTGTGAAGAGGGAGTTAAGCAATATAGCTGGGAAAGGAAATCAGTTTGGGACCTGTTAAGCACAAGACAATTTTCTGAGAGCAGTTTGGGACTCTGTACCAGTAACTGCACCTTCATGTAAA